CTCCCCTCACATCCGGAACCTAGGCATCATATTTGACCAAACCCTCTCCTACAACAAATACATCAAACAGATCACCAAGACAGCCTTCTTCCACCTCAAAAACATCGCCCGTCTACGTCCATCCCTCTCCCCACTGCTGCAGAAACCCTCATCACCTCCCATCTGGACTATTGCAACAGCCTCCTCTATGGTTCACCCAGTGGCGCCTCCAGAAATCTTTCATAGGGGTGGCCAAATGGGGCCACTGAAAATCTTGGGGTGGCCCACCAAAACCAAGAATGTAATTGTTGTAAAGGTATAGACTAGATTAAAACAATGGCAAAGATAATCACCTACTGATATACTTTGGTTTCTTATACTATTCATCTGAAGTGAATATAATACGGATAGTTAACATTTGACTTCAAACAACATTTAAAATAACCTTGTTTTGTGTTATGCATACATGTGTTAGGTGATTTATTGTTTTGTTTTTTATGCATGCTAGTTGTTCTTTCCTTTTAAAAAGACAAATACAGCTTAATTTAAATAAGTTCCTTTATTGTAAGGCACAAAATGTTCAGCATTCTCAACACATACAATACACAACAGCAACACAACATGTTCTTCAGTTATATTATGTCTCTAGGTTATAAATTGTTTTAGACTGAACAAAGCTGTTTGTGTCATCAAAGATGATTGACATGACTTTATTAAATCAAATTTTAAAACATGACTATTTTATTTCAACAGGACCCAAAAACACAAGGGGTATAAAATGGTAAATACATACTGTGATTGAACACAAAAACACCATCTATTATTGACCTTTATAGCAAATTCAAAACATTATAAATGATACAAAACACCACCTTTAGTATTAGACAGAAAATAGGTGACGAGACATATTTCAATTTTTTTTAGATTAGGCCACTGTGGTGAGAGTAATACATATGGCTTGTATTCCATTTGTTTTGAAAATGTATATTTATACTTTATAAACAAACTGGTTACCCTTTTTTTAAATTAGCATACAGAACATTATGAAAACAAACTTGAGTAATGGTCGGCTCATAACCTCAGAACACAGAAGAGGAAAAACTGCATAGATTCTCGTTTCATTTTGAAGGAGCTGCAGACCTAAAGTGTGTAGAAGACTTAAATGATTACAAAGGTCACAATCACATTAATAAAACTGTATTTAGGTTTTAGTTTCACTTTTACAAAACAGAGTTCCACATGTACTTTCTAGCATGTATGGCCATCTCCTCACTAGCCCTATATGCTGCTCCCCTGCCAGCTCTGTCTCTCCTTTACTCATCTTCTTCTTAAAATAAGAAGAGATACGATACGATACGATATTACTTTATTGTCAGATCAAGTCTGAAATTTGACTTGCGTCACAGCAGCTCCATGTCCAACATCAACAGACAAATACACAAATACATGAAACACAAACATTTAACATAACAGCACAATCAGTGAGAGAAAAACATGCTCAAAGAGCCTTCAGCGTGCATTTGGTCTGGGATTTAGCTCTGTATTTACTGTGAGGACTGACTGATGCACAAAGGAGTGCTTCAGTCTGACTTTATTGAATCGTGGGACCCTGTATCTCCGATTAGATGGTAGCAGTTCATATTTACTGTTCAGAACATGGTTTGGGTCGGAGATGATGTTGTTGGACAGCCTCACTAGGTTGTTATGATAGGCTGAGTCAAAGAGTCTCTGACAGGGTTGACCAACAATCTTTGAGCAGATCTTTAACAGGTGGAGTAGTTTTGATTTTAACGCTGCTGACAGACATTTGTACCAGGTAGTATTGCAGTACTGTAGAATGGACATGATCACAGATGTAAAGAACAACAGAAGAATTTCTCTGCTCGCGCCAAAAGACGGCGGAGAAAATAAATTCTTTGTTTTTGTCCTTTTGCACAGATAACCAATGTGATCCTTCCATGACAGCAGATGGTCAATAATTACACCCAGGTATTTGTATGAAACTCCCTGCTTGATCTCATCTGTATGGATGATAATGGGGACTTTATGGGAGTCAGATGGTGAGCCAAAAATGATTTCCTCAGTTTTCTTGGTGTTGATCTCAAGAGCATTGTTATCAGTCCACTCGACCACCTGATTTACAGCCTGTTGGTGCAGCTCAGGGTCGTCTGTGTTACTGAGCAGAGATATTATTGCAGTATCATCAGAGTACTTAATGATGAATTGATTTGGTGTGTTGGTACGACAATCATCAGTGTAGAGAGTAAAGAGCACAGCTGAACTCACGCAGCCCTGGGGGGCCCCTACATTGGTTGTGATGGCAGATGACAGGGTTTTGTTAACCTTCACAAGTTGCTCTCTACTGGTGAGGAAAGCAGCATACCAGTAAATCAGGTATGGATTTACTTCCATTTTGGCCATTTTTGACACCAAGATGTCTGCTTGTATTGTGTTGAATGCTGATGAGAAGTCTAGGAAGAGGGCTCTTGCATAAGTGTTACGTTTGTCTAAATGTTTAGTGATGATGTGAACCAAAGTGGCCACAGCATCTTCCGTACCGCACCCTTGTTTATAGGCAAATTGGTATGGATCAAATTTGTCTTGTGTTGTACTGATAAGGAATCGGAGCAGAATTCTTTCTAGTGATTTCATAATCACTGATGTGAGGGCTATTGGTCTGTAGTCCTTATGTTCTTTTGGGCATGGAATTTTGGGCAGCGGTTTGATGTGGGAAGTTTTCTATGACAGAGGGATGGTGTGCGTGTCAATGGAAGCCTGAAAGATGGGTTGCCACACTGGAGCCAGCTCAGTAGCAAAGTTTTTCAGCAGAAAACCGCTGCACCCATCTGGCCCAGCCGCTTTCTTGGTGTTAGTGCACTGAAATGTTTTTCTGACCTCTTCGACACTGATGGTAATTGTGTCAGAGGAAGTAGGTATTATGGTTTCGAGCATTTCAGTGCACTTTGCAGAATTATCCAGTGACTCGAAACGGGTAAAGAACGTGTTTAGTTCGTTAGCAAAACAAAATTCATTTTCTGTCACAATGGGTTTAGCTGAGGGTGACATTCCTGTCATGGTTTTCATGGTGTCCCATACTTTTTGGGGGTTTTTGGCTTTAAAAGCATTTTCCAAAAGCTCTCTGTGTGCCAGTTTTGATTCCCTGAATTTGACTTTCAGTTCTTGCTCTGTCTGTTTAAGTGCTCCATAGTCTTTGTTTTTGAAAGCTATTTTCCTGGTATTTATAACGGTTTTAATGTCCTTGGTCACATAAGATTTATTATTTGGATAGATTTGTATTTCTTTAGTGGGAACAACTAGTTCAACTAGTAGATGTCTGTTGACTTTCTTTTCATTTTCTGCAAATTGACATTACACACAGCAGTGATTAATAGTAGCCTACGCATTACACCAGCCCAGCATACCGACATCAGCTAACGTTAGCTTAGCAAGCTAAACTAACGCTAACTAGGATAGCTGCCAAAGTGTGTTTACAGACGAATTATACCTGAAGTCAAGCCAGCCTTTACTGAGCCCCGAGCCTGTTTTCTCGTTTTAATGCCATTGAACACACATTTTGATCAGAATAACAGCTCTTCCCACAACTGTAAAGGAAAGTAAAACTATACTTACCTTCAAAACCTCTCTTAAAGAGCACCTTCGGGGGAGAGCATTGCAAAACTGGCCCCGGTAATGGTACAAATCTCAACCTGTCGTACAATGGACAGCTCCCCCCCCCCCCCATCTATGTAGCCTATATACTCGCATTTTAGACTCTGTTACTAACTGTATATCTGTAGACTTGGTATGTCTTAAATGTCCGGTTAGGATGTATTAGAACGAAATCTAAAATGAAAATTGTAAACAAGCAATCTGTATGTAAAAAACCACCTGTATGTAAATTGTAAATAAGCCATCTGTATGTTAAATATGTCTTAAATGATATGATGAATTGGAAATGGGGGGACCCTGATGTAAACAAGACGAAAGTCTTTCTCTGGTCTGCATCCCCTTAACAATTGTATGTTTTGAGCTGTACTGTACTGTACCCAATATACAAGCTGTTAATAAACTTTTCAATCAATCAATCAATCAATCAATGGTTACCATATCTCCGTTTTTTGCTACCTAAAGCTAACACACTAAAGCCTAAGTGTTGTGGGGCTTAACAGGCAACGAACGTATACGACTTACTTATGATTTTTGTCAAGTCAGTAGAAAGAAACGTTTTGCTGCAACCTGCTGCTGTCTGTGCGAATCTCAGAGTGGTGCGCACGAGTATCAGAGTGTTACCATGGTAGCAGAGGGAGAGGGAGGGGCTGCAGTATGAGTGTTGGAAGCTCAAATCAAGCGACTCGCTGGCTGTGTATTTGTTGTTAAATATCAGATAAACTACTACGCATACGTGACTGGCGAGGCGGTGTGTGTGGTGGGAGGGCCAACAAATATATCAGGGTGGCCATGGCCCCCCCCTGCTGGCGCCACTGGGTTCACCTGCAAAAATCCTCAACAAACTTCAATACATCCAGAACTCCGCCGCCCGTCTACTTACCCACACCCGAATCCGTGACCACATCAAGCTCCACTGGCTCCCCATCCCCCAGAGAATTTAGTACAAAATCCTCCTAATGACATACAAAGCCTTCCATAACCTGGCCCCATCCTACCTAACTGACCTCCTCCACAGACACACTCTCACTCGCTCTGCTACTGCCAACCTCCTGTCCCTCCCCACCCGGACCAACCTCAAGTCCTGGGGCGGCAGAGCCTTCTCCGTTGCTGCACCCACCCTCTGGAACTCATTGCCCCAATCCATCAGAGATTCTTCCTACCTCACAGCATTCAAAACCCACCTGTTCAACACTGCATTCAACCACTGACCCCCCCCCCTATTTTCTGTTTTGTTTCTCATAAATTCTCTGTCAAAGCGTCTTTGAGTTTCCTGAAAAGCGCTATACAAGTCTCATGTATTATTATTATTATTATTATTATAATAAGGCACTACTAAAACAGAATAGAGACAGTTTGTTGTAACAACTGAATTTTTAATATTTGTAAGATATAAAAATCTTCATCTTTATCATACAATAACATCTTACCATAAATGTAATCAAAGATGGGATACATTTGCCACCAAACAAGAATTATAATATAACTTTGATCCCTTTTGAGGTAAGACAGCTGGTTCGTAGATTAAGCCACACACGTCTTCCCTTCTACACATGTAGCCCACAGGCTGTTGAGTTTGTTCTTCATGTGTTTATCATGTAAGACACTCTGCCTCACCTGTAGGTCCAGGCACAGAGCTGAAAGCGGTACCTGTCCTGTGAAACCACTTACAATGAGACACATTAACCCTTCTTTAGGATGTCTCAAAATGAGCATCAATACAATGAAAACAAGTTATATAATGTACAGAAACGTGCATGAAAGACACACGACTGCTGAAGGTCTGTGTGGTATGAGCAACCAGTGATTTGACTTTTTATAAGAGGGAGGCTGTGTTGGAGTGCTCAAATAAAGAAAAAGTCAGCCTTTCTACCCTTTCACATCCCAAAACAGAAGGAAAGACCTGTATGGCATTAAGTGCACAGACTGATGTGCTCAGCATGTCTATCACTATTTTTAATAACCTCTTTCTATGGGCGAAAAACAAAAGAAACAATCAACAACAAAAGCAGCCAATACAGGAAACAACATTCAATATGCTTGATCCAAGAAACACAGTGAAAACAAAAGACAGGAAAAAAAGCAAATATAGAATTTGAACATGCCACATTGTTCCTTGGGCAAGTTTTCTTTCACAGAAAGCCACCAATTTTACTAGTTTTTGTAGTAATAAAATGAATAGACATCTCAAATGGTTGCCAGCGGGTTGACCGAGCAGAGAAAACAAGAAAGTCACATATCATCATCACGTCACCGGACCATGCACATGACCCTGCAGCATCTCACAGAATACACACACACGCTCCCACACACACTGCAAGTCATGCAACTGACACACACGCACGCTCTCTGTAAAACAAAGTACAAGCATATATTGACACTAACCAAAACATCAGCATTTGACATTTCTCAGAATCCACATATTCTGGCTGTACCAAAGCCAAAGAGGCATTTATGGCGGAAATGTTTAATATTCATGGTAATAATGCTCTTTCAAAAACATTTAACAGCAGTTGGACAGTACTGTGGTTTTGTGCTGTCGGCACAGGTTGATTTGGCAGCACACCCGGTAATATAAAGCTCATTAACTTTACAAAAAGAACAGGAAGACAGACAACAAAACAGGCAGACAGGCGTGCAGCAAGCTGGATGTCAACCAATCACAGCAATGATGAGGAGAGAAAACTTTCATTGTCATCTCTAGTCATGCACAAACACACTCACTCGCACATACACACACTCATCACTTATACATCTGCCAAAAACCTGCAGCCAGGTTTTTTTTTTTTTAACCCTCATCGCCCCCATCAGAACAAGGAGGATGATAGCAAGTGTTCCTTGGCTGGTAGAGGTGGGTGGACACTTGAGTCCCCGTGCAAATTGACTGGGTGGTTGTAGCCAGGAGGTGCAGTTTGGTCAGTCTCCAATGAGCCGATTGGATGTTTAGAGTCTCTACAGGGAGGTGGAGGGAAGCTTCTTGACGCGCCTCTGAGCTAGGAAGGAGCTCTCGATGGGCTTCAGCTCTGGAGTTGGTTGAGACTTCTTCAGGGCAGAGTAGGTGGCCGCCATCGCACCCTGTAGAATAACAGCAGCATGGTAATTCAACAGGCAACAAACCAAAATGTGTGCATGAAAAAGAAAGCTTGTTTGGCGACAATTGCAGTCATTTTATGAAAACATTTAAAAAAGGGAAAAACCACAATATAATTTCTATGATGGATTTACATTTTTTGTGAAGACAGACAACAGAAATGACAGTGGTATTGCAAAATAGCACTAGTAGCTCAACATCTGTGTCCGTTGTTATACAATATTTAGATCACTTTGTATTTTGTACAGCATTTTTAGGAAACAATAAATGTTTTACATTATTTATTATCTACCAATATTCAATGTAAACCTGTGAACCTAACTCTAAACTAAAAGTCAACATTAATTAAAATATTCCTCAGCAAAAAGCATATCTATATTACTTCATAGTTACTGCCACACATTGTCGATCAGTTGAATAAACGTGAATTTAAAAAAAGCATGAATTTGAGAGTGATGTTTTCTTTTTGTGCCATTTTTGCACGTTCACAATATTAACCTGATGGGGATCTTTTTTAAGACAATTCTGCATTGGGCTCTTAGTGGTAAAAACAAAACTCTATGGGGTATCTTTAATTCTGAAATATTTAACCGTGAAACATTGTTATACTGTATCATGTAGGAAAAGAAAATATCCAATCAGTTCTCTGTAACTGATATGTTTTTGATAGAAAACGTCTTGTTACCTTGACCAGTTTGGGGTCGTGATGAGGGAGCTGGCTGTTGGGCAGTTTGTCTCTCTGGATAATCCAGGGATGTTTGAGGACCTGCTGAGCAGTCAGTCTCTGATGCGGGTCCACATGAAGCATCTTCGACACAAGATCCTAGAAGCAGCACAGAATACATTTAAAACATGTTGACAGAAGGAAACTGGATTCCTCTGAGGAACTTGAGCAAAGCAGCCATCTGTCAGGTTTGGAGTTTCACCTTGGCAGCTTCAGACACTGTGTCCCAGTTGCCTCCAACTAGACTGAAGTGACCGTTTCCTATTCTGTTCAGGATCTCATTTGGGGTGTCCTCAGGTCCGTTGGCAAATGGAGTAAAGCTGTCAAGAAAAGGATAAAAATGACAAAGTGAGTATTAAGGGTAGTGATATAGAAAAATGAGTTCAAATAAAAAAGAGCTTTGAGTGTTGGTATTCACCCGGCCAGCATGGTGTACAGTAAGACTCCGAGACTCCAGATGTCACACCCTTCATCATAGCCCTGACGTTTCAACACCTGGAATGACACACATTGCCTTTCAATTCAACACAGTTCAAGGTCTTTAGTTTTATCCAGGTCTGAGCAAATGTAGGCAAAAGCTGTGCAGCTTTTGCCTATTCTGACCCAGAGAAAAAAGGAGGACTCAACTTACCTCAGGAGCTACAAAGTTAGCAGTGTAGCACGGGGTCATGAGCAGGCCGTTGTTGGCACGCAGTTGCTTAGCGAATCCAAAGTCACAGATCCTGATAGAATCTGGATTCCCCGACTCATCAACATAGAGGATATTGCTAGGCTTCAGGTCTCTGTGCACCACCTGGAGGAACAAAATAAAAGTAAATTAAGTGAATAGTTCAGTAGTAAAACAGATAACAAGAGCAAGCCAAGTATAGAAAAAACTGAATACAGTGAAATTATTTATATTATGAGTATTTTCTGGTTGTCCTCCTTACCCCCTGGGAGTGTAAGTACTCCACAGTCTTGGTGATGGTGTGAAGCACAGAGCTGGCCTCTCTCTCTGAGAAGAACTTCTGTTTGAGGATGCGATCCAGCAGCTCTCCTCCACGCATCAGCTCTGTCACCATGAACACCTGCTTACCGTTGTCGTACACCTGAGACAGAGACACACACATTATCATATCACCATCTGTGACATTGGGCATCGTTTTTTGGCTTTCATTGATAGAAATGTCCATAATAACCATTCAGGAAACTAATAATCTGAACCTTCCTTTGGCTCTGTTTTTAGGCTTTAGAAAATCAAGCCTGACACTGAATCACAGGTCATATCAGATTTCACACCAACATGTTTAATATAAGTGCATTTCTTCATACTTACATCCTTCAGTGTTATGATGTTAGGGTGCTGCCCATATCGAAGCAGAATCTCAATCTCCTCAGAGGGGTCTGTACTGGTCTTTTCAATCATCTGTCAATCACAATATATTCTTAATATTACAGTTTTATACAGTATAATATAAAATACAGCCATGATGGTTATGCGTGTAATTGTAACCGTCATCTTGGTTGTATGTCACAGGAATCTTTTTCTAAATATACACCACCCTACCTTAACAGCGTATTCTGTGTTGGTGGCTTTGTGGATACAGCGTTTACAGACAGAGAAGGACCCCATGCCGATGTCTTCCTTCAACACGTAGCCGTCGCTGAACAGCAGGTTCTTTCCGTGTAATTGCTGCAGAGGAAGAAGGGCGATGTTAAAAAAAAGCGTGTTGTGCTGAGAGAGTTTATGAGGCAGAAGTCGTACACCTATATTTTTTCAAAATGTTCTAGCACACAGAGTTAACAGCTGTTCCTTTCACGCATGAAACAGGATCTGTACCTGTTTTTAGGTATCTGACATTTCCTTCCCCTCTCTGTCTTACATAGACCTTGTACTTTTGTGTGTTTCCCCTCTTTCTTTAGATAGCTGTAGTTTGTGTATTCAGTGATAAATCCAACACAGTAAAAGAAAGGACATCTCTTGTTTAAACTGGATCTCGTAGTTCAGAATGTAGAATGTATTTATTCTGACCTGGACCACTGGGTGAGGCTTGACTGGCTCCGCAGACCCTTCCTCGTCCAACAAAGGCGACGCAATGAAGCTAAAGCCTCTGAAAAGCTGGTGAGCTCCGGCACTGGGGGGCACACCGGGGGAGTCTGGAAGATTATAAGGAATGTCAAGGATGGAAAAGAGAAATATGTGCCTTTTTAAGAAATGCCATGTTTTAATATGTTATTTCAAGAAGATCATACTTCCTAGCTTGTGCATTTATTTACAAACACTCCTATAATAAAGTGTGATCGCATCTTAATGGAGCTGTAACCACAATAATCATCTTGCATTGACAGGAAAAATATTACATTTTCAATTAACTTCTTTCAGGGTGAAGAAAAAAAACAGGTTAACATGCAGCTTGGATTTCTGACCTTTAGGGGTACGGGAGGTGAACTCAGAGTCAAAGTAGAAGGTGTCGTCGGGACGCGCCACTGCTGGTCTGAACGGGGGTTTTAATTCTCGCCTGAAGAGTTTCTAAAAAGGAATAAAATACTTTCAATCACACAATATACTTTAAATTCCACCCCAAAAGTTGTTTTTCCTAAATGAAAACCATCTAATTGTTCTTTTGGTACTTGTGGATTATCTGTTGCCACTGTTTTTTTCAGACTCTCTAAATACGCAATTTTTTAGAGAGGGTTAGAGATAGTATATTGTTGTGAAAATGGCGACATGATAACACACATCTGTATTTGTGCAAAAGTTGGAAATTCTATTAAAAAGTGGCGACAGATAAGTACCGCACTTTTTACTCTGCACAATAAATTATATTGTTGACCTTCTCTCACTTACGTTCCAGTCGATGGTGGAGAAGAAACCATGCCGTTTGATCTCCTCTGCACCATCAGCACAAGATCCTGTCAAGAAACACCAATGACACATATATGAGGAAACAGAGCTGGAGTGCTTATTTTGCCATTTGTGAAATAACTGTTCAGTAGTTGGTACTAACCCATTCTGTTGGAAGGGTTCCTCTTGAACAAAGCCCTGAGTAGAGACTGAGCCTCTGCACTGAGGAACTGAGGCATTCCCAGGCGCGCCCTGCAGGGACAGACAGACGGCAGGTAGCTCCATTTATTCACCTTATATCAAGAGGTTTTTTTTCTTAAATCGCAACAAGATATGACAACTGGCTTCTGTGTTGAAATGCTCCTCCACCATGAGGATACTCACTTCAGAATCAGGCTCATAGTTTCTTTGCGGTCCTTTCCTTGAAATGGCAGCGATCCAGTCAACATCTCAAACTGGGAGAGAGAACAATAAACTGTAATCATGTACATGTACATATATGTGAAGTAGAAGATGTATTAAAGGAGTATGTATGATATAGAAACACAATTAATATAATTTGAAATAGTGTTTCCTGCTTACCATAAGTACTCCAAATGACCACCAGTCGGCACTCTGGTCGTGTCCCTGCCTGTTCACAACCTCAGGTGCCATGTACTCTACAGTACCACAGAAGGAATACGCTTTCTTCTCATGATCAATGGCTTCTTTACACAGGCCGAAATCTGGAAAACACACCACAAGATACAGTCAGCAGGTCAATGTGCTGTATCAGTGTAGCACCCTACTGTAGAGTGCTTTCTGTTATCATGAATGATTTCCATATAATCTAACATGACCAAAGTGTATCTTTTGCCACTTGTTTTACAGCACTTTCAACTAGTTGGTTAAAATATAATAAAAACTATTTTACAACGCTTTATCTGGTCTGCACTGCCTCTCTATGATACAGTAACCTTCAGTTCAGTGGTGGCAGGACCCGGAAGTCAATAAATGGCGTTGATTATGGACGATTATAGAGATAGATAAAGCAGATAAAGTGTAATAATTAACTTCGGGAACATGTACACGCCCATATGCAGATATCTGGAGTCGGTAAGATAAGGCTGTCACCCCAGTGTGAGTAATGAGGGTCAACAAGGTAGAGGTGTGTCTGGTAGAGTTGGTGTCTGTGAGTGTATCGGCAGAAAGGAGCAGGAGACTCACCTGTGAGTTTGATATGTCCCTCCTCATCCAGGAGAATGCTAAACAACAATATCAATTGTTAGAATCATGAATGTATCGGAAGAGTGTGAACATTTAAATATTTTACTCATTTAAAAAACACATTGCACATTCTGCTGTAATGAGTATGTAACACAATAATCAGCTTTCAACTTAAAGGCACCTTATTGACTCTTTGATCACTAGTGTGAGGAAAATTGCAGAGGTTGGGGAATGCATATCTACAACCAATGGCAGTAAACATAAACAGTGGCCATGCAACAATAAAGAGAGGACCGCAGACTGAAATACAATGCAGGGTTCAAAAGTTAACAAAGCTTTGCAAATGATTAATGAGTTTGCACTCATAGGCCTAAGGGAAACAAACAAAGCATTTTGGAGAGGAATGGTAATTCAAAATGTTTAGAGTGAAAAACTCCACTGGGTACTTTTTTATAGCAATATAGCAAAATAACTTATCATGCAAAAGAAAGGCTCTGATTTATTTCCAAGAACCGAATAAATAACTCTTAGAATAAAAGTATCTGCAGGGAGCACTCTAGCAGTGATGACAGCTTTTTCTACGAGACCATAGGCTTACATCTCTGTATACATAAATTGTCAAGGTTTTTTTAGGACAAGATTTTGCTTGGAAAATGTAAAACTGTGCCAATTTTCAAGAATGTTCTTACTGATGGCAGATAATAGTAGTATTGAAATGAAGGCTCAATGACGCTGCAGCTGAAGTCTTAAATGGTAGACAGTAAGTACATTTACTGAAATACTGTACTCCTATGCAATTTAGAGATATATTTGATGCCAATACTTTATAACTTTTACTTAACAACATTTTCAAAGACCTCAGCCTTTTAACAGAGAATGTCTGCATCGTGGCCTAACAACTTTTAATAACAATGATGATCTGAGTACTTTGTCCACTTCTGCACACATGCATTTGTCGCACTATCTTTTTGTGTGTCTAGTATGTCAATTTGTTCTCTTACTTTTCAGGTTTGAGGTCCCTGTAAATGATGCCCAGGCTATGGAGGTGGTCCAGTCCTAACGCCAGCTCCGCTAGATAAAACTTCACATCCTCCTCTGTGAACATCACCTGAGAGGCATGAGACACAGAAAAAGAGAGAATTAAACAATGATTTAAAAGTGCAAGATAATGGAGGGGAAAAAAAGATAAACATTTGTCATCAAATAAGATAAATGACTGACAGAGCCAGCAAACAACCACAATCCAATGAATCACTCTCACCTCTTTGGAGAGTCTGGTGAAGAGATCTCCTCCTCTGAGAAAGTCCAGGATCAGGTACAACTTGCCTTCAGTCTGGAATGCTACAAATAAAAGATACAACATTTACTGGGAAATCAGCAAGCTAACAAGAAGATTTCTGGAATCTTAAACAATAAGATAGTAAGAAAACAGTCTCCAGGTTCCTTAAAACATTTTGGTAATGAAATCTCCAGGCAGACTCACCATAGTGCAGTTTGACAACAAATGGGTGGTTGACGTCAGCTAGGATGTCTCTCTCCATCTTAGTTCTCACACGGTCTCTCACTGAAGGATAAATGGAGGTGCAGAGTTTAGTGTGATTATAAACTTTATTATTAAAAAGTTGGCTGACAAAGCCCTCAAGCATTTGTACTATATTGTCTAGTGTGGTTGAACAAGTTGGTGGTTTCTAGTTGGCTGCCCAATAATGGATCAATTCTTTGCCGATTTAAAATCATAGAGGATGTCGGACCATGCAGAGTTTTAGTTTGAGGCTCTGTCAAAGCTGTCAACTCGGTTCTGATTGATGAGGAAAGTGAAACCATTAGTCATATGCTACAACATGGTAAATGCTCATGCCAAGGAAAATGAAACTACTTTTAGGGGACTGTGTGAATAAAGCTGATGTTTATGAAAAATAATGAGACCACCTGGGTGCATAAGTAGAAAAAACGTAAAACCTGCGGTAACCTCACTACAAAACTAAGACAACTACCGTCTCACTTCTACTGCATGTGGTTCTCTATGAGTGACAGGAAAAGATACACCCTTTTATAAGAAACAGACAGAGGGTACTGCAACTTCAAAACAAGTAATGAGTTTACCACAAAAGCTAAAGAGAAAGCAATCATACATAAACTAAACAAGGTGATGTTATATAAGGGGATTAAATACAGGGCTGCAACACATTGTTTTCATTATCCATATCAGCATAGAGTTAAATATGCTCATCACAATGTCCTGAATCTTAAAGTACTGTCTCGAAATCTGCAAAAAATGTTTGAGAAGAATTTGAAACTAGCAATAATCAAACTAGTTGTAGATACATTCTCTAACACCATCTTTAATCCAGGCAATGATGGGGAACATATCAGCTGCAGAGCAACTCTACTGCATGTTGTAGACTAAACTTAGGTTTTCAAAGGTAAAGCTGGGGTCAGGAATTTCAAGCTTTTTGTGTTTATTAGTACACTTTGACTAACCAAGTCAGCCTTTTAAACCATCCTCTGTGATTGAACACTTTTTAAGGCTAATGTACCTTTCAGCGTGGCTTTCTTGAGGACCTTCATGGCGTAGAGCTGGTTGGCATCGGGGGCGGTCACCTTTCGCACCAGGAACACCTGCAACAAAACAACACTCGGTTATATTAAATAAGAGGTTGAGTGCATATTAAAATTGTCCGACTAAGAGAGCGAAAGAGACAAGATTTACCTTGCCAAACGATCCCTGTCCCAACACTTTGAGCAGTTCAAACTGAGAAGCATCAGCCTTCTCTGATCCCTCCTTGACCACATGGGTAATGTTGATCTCTTTGATATCTCCATCTTCCTGCAGAGTGCAAAGCAGAGGGGAAACGTTTAATAAACCAGTCAGTATTCACAAACAATGGCTAAAACAGTGTGTTTGTAAGGATTGTGTGAAAAGAACATGTCAGAGATTGTTTGCAGAGCCAAAAGAGAAGTTACAGTATGTCGTAGGATATTGTCTTCTACTGTAAATAACACTATCAAAATAAAATGCTTCATAAAGAGGAAGCACGGTAAGAAGTGAGATGTACGTATTGTGTGCGAACGAGTGATAACACCCAGTGTTTCGGAACAATGTATTGCTTTTTTAAAGTAGTTTCTGGAAATGATGGGGACTCGCATATCACAAACAACTGACAGTGCACATTTCAGACGTAATGTAATGTAAAATGCCTCCAGTGGTTCATGTTTATGTTTCAGGGATTGAAAACAAGTTGTATAACCTCAAGAAACTTCTCGGGTATTTACAGGGTGGAGCACTGCCACTGCTGCCACTCCAACACAAAAACACATAACGCTGACCAGGGGGGTATACTACGAAGCAGGATTTTCGCTTAGCCGGCTAAATTCAGGGAAAACTCCGGCTTTCCGGTCCTACGAAGCTGGTTCTCTTTTTAGCAGGCTAGATCTCCATGGTAACTTATGCTTAGCGGCTAACCTGGTCAGGACCAGGTTAGGTTGCAGGCTAAGAGCTCAACTCAGTGAAAGCACTGCCTGCTGACCAATCAGAGCTCAGTGTGCGGAGTTTAAAGCGATCAAGTCATATTGCAGGAGAAAGGAAATACAGAAAAGCTGCCGTCGCAGGAAAGACGGCCGGCAAAAATCACCGACTGTGTGAACGTGAACATTAATAGAATATCACCTCCCATCTTCAGAGCAATTTGACTATTATAACATTAGCGTTAAGAAAGCTTACTTAAATATCTGCCACAACATAAGTAACCGGATCAAAGTAACATTAAGTACAGTCCGCATATCACTTCATAATGTATCATATATTTCCTTATCTGAGTCAGCTGAGCCTTATCTGGCTGTGCAACACTCACAGTGTCACATACTGTATGCAGAAGTATTATTTTAAGCAACACATTAAGTTGACAAAACACTCGAGACAAATGTAATTAAAGTCAGATCGTGTTTTAGACGGGGTAGTGATATCATAAACCTGTTAATGTATGCATTCAAACACTTTTTCTTTTACCAGCTGTATTCACCTTGCAGGTGCAGCTATGTGGCTTTGATCCTGGATAAAGTGTTTAAGTCATGGATGTTTAAAGTTTAACTTCTTCATATGTCTAATATTTTAGTTGACTTTTCATTCAGGAAGTATGACACTGCGCTGTCAGTATGCTTCTCCATGTTTGTGATTGGTCGAATGCTCCAGATACCACCCCTTTCATGTGAACGCGCACCTAACTAGATAGGACACGGCTGGCTTGAGCGATCCACTTGATAACCCGCGTTGTAGGACCGCTTAGCGAGAGCGCGTATGTTTTGGATTAGGCCAACCGGCTAACTCAAACATATCCAGGTTAGGTTGAACCAGCTTCGTAGTACAGGCCCCTGGTGTCAATCTCACCCTCAATTCACTTCAGAAAAACAACAAAGACTGGGTGTTGTTATGAGAGCAGAGAACAGAAAGGTTTCTCACACTGTGACCACTACAACAAGGCAACACTGTAGTTACCTGCAGGGAGAATATTAAAATGTAACTGAGTGGTCGTGGAGTAACTATTCCTTCTCCTGAAGCCTCACAGCTACTTGCAGAGAAACATTTCAAAATCTGGAACAAGAAAGTAGGACATCTTGCCTGTTCCACCACTTATTATCCATGCAATGCACACCATATGAAATGCATGTCAAATACCATAAACACTTTTTAGCCTGTAGTAAGTTGTGTACAATATAATTGATCAGGTTAAAATAACACATATTTGCTAGATTCCCCTTCTCCAGTTTCCCATGAGCAATGTGAAAACATAATTTCTGGTTCTGGGAAAAGCGTTATTTACAGTTTTCTGAACATGTATAGATAAAAACAGTGATCAACTCACCCAGAAATACAAATAACACAGAAAATAGTCATAAGTTGCCACACTGAAGAACCTACAAATAAAAAAGGGACTGACAAATCCTAACATTCTAAAGTTTTAACAATTCACTGTAAGCAGGCGAAACCACAGGCCACCATAGGATTTTATTTGACAACAGGAAACCAGAGTTGGTTTTTGAACATGCAAGCTCTCAGCTGCACCTTGTTTCTAAACCACCACAGAACAACAAGCACTGATCCTCGTTTGCACTTTGCAGCTTTAATACATCCCTCTTCCACCCTCGTTCATTTAAAAATGACATTAACAACTCTCTTGAGACGAGTACTTAGAGTTAATCAAGATGCCAACACAAGTAGGTATCACTTTACCGTCCAGTGGTTCCTCTCTGCAGGTAAAGAGTCAGGGCTGTTGCCTGGTGCAGCTGTTGATCTGTTACAGGTCGGAGGGCTGCCAGCCAAGGCTTTGTTCTTTTTGGAAAGGTGGAAGGTCAGAAAGCGGCTCAGGTAGGCGAACTTGCTCTTGTCCTTTTCCATCTCAGCATTGCCAAAACCTCTGCATCATCTTCCTACCCATTTCCACTAACTGTCTAACTAACTGTCACATTTGATTAGCTCTGTGTACATTAAGTGCACATGAAAAAATCTATTTCCTCAGAAGCAGCCTTCTGCTCAAGTATAATCAACTCTTCATCTTCTCTGTTATTATCTCTACTGTCCTCCCTCTCTCCATTGCTCTGTGCTGGTCTGATGAGCCCTGTGTGTCCTCAGTGAGTGACTGCAGCTGCAGTGAACTGGAACCAAAACAGGCAGGAAGGAAGAGCCTGCTCTTATTCTCACAGTCCTGCACCCAAAAAGTCTCCCCACACACACACACATCTGCGGGTAAGCGAGAGAGATAGCATTTTAGGTAAAGAGAGAGAGGAAGAGAGTGGATTTAAAATTGAAACAATAGAGAAACAAGATAAAGAATATGGAAATATGGTTGTGTCTTTCTGCTGCACAAAGCGATGTTACAGTGTCATTAACTGTGAATCTGTGTTGATTTAACCCGGCTCTATGTGATCATGACGTACGACTTTGCTGCCTTCTTGGACACTTCACCATTGTAAATAGATTTTAACACAACTGTTTTTTTGTGGTGAATACCTTTTACTCAAAGCTACATGCTTTTACCCACAATTCAACAGAGTAGAAGCTAGAGGAAAGACTATGAGCTTTCACCTCTATGTGTTAGGACGATTCAGACGACTCACTGCCTGCGGATGAGAGATATTTTCCGGTCTGTGGAAAGACATGTCCCTCTCTTCCCTCTCATGTAGTCCAGTCCTGCTTATCCTGCCCCTTAAAAAAAAGCTTGCACTAGTCCTTAAGTGCCCTCTCATTTACTTTTCCCCCCCCCCAAATATTTCACTTTATTGCGCTTTGTGCAGAAAATACCACTTGAACAACAGAGAATAAGCTGCTGGATAGTGCATCCAGTGCGTCAACCTCTCTCTTAACCAAACAGTATCATAATCGAGCTGTTAGCAGAGCTACGTCACTGAAAACTAAGAGGGTGGCTTGAACATTTTGGAATTGAAGTTTCAGAGGGCGGAGACAAAAAAGGCAAACGTGTTTCAGCCTGAAGTGGATAACATGTTACTAGCTTGCTTAGCAGAAGAGGAGCTGCAGATTGAATATAAAGCAGCTGTACAGGAGATATGACCAGAACTTACCTGATTTCTAATATTGGCAAAGTCCCTCTCTTTCCAGGTGATATGAGAATCTTTCTGGGAGGGGAGGATTGTTGTGTTGGAGGTTAACAAACGTAGGTTACAAAAATAAGTGCTTTAAGTACATTTAAATATAAAAACAAACTATAGATAATACAGATTTACTTGACTTGAGTGCACAAGTATTCTTGAAGGCATCACATTCAAAACAAACATTCACACAAGAGGTTAGAAACGGGTCAGATGGTGATGGTTGCCACACAAGTGACGGGAAGCTTCTCTCCACTCTTAGTTCTCACTTCCTCTTTTCTTGAACTGAATCTCGCTTCCTTCCTTCTCGATCATTGAAACATGTATCTGCTAGCAGTAACTGCTGCTCAGATACGCTTTAAATATCCACAATGTTATCTGACTGATCACGATTGAAAAGGTACTAGGAATATCTCAAATGTAGAAGTGATTAAATGAGCTAGTGAAGACCCTCTAGGCTTATTTTACAGTTTAAAAAGTAATTGAACATAGTGCAAAAGGTCCTTTTCTGCTTTAAACAGATTTGTATTTGGACGTTTGCATTTAATTTTGTCTATATGATTATTTAGTGCAACAACGCACAGGATAAACACTAACTGTCTGAAACAGAAAGTGTTTTTATGGATTAGCACTGCTTTGTTAATTGATAGCACATGTAGAATACAAGGAAATAAGTTTAGGTTACAATGTGCCGTCAAACGTAACTATTTACAAGGTGTTTCAGGGTTAGAGGAGGTGAAGGATAAATACATCCTCCTGCATCAACTTGCACTTCACAGCTGATAAGATGGCCACACACACACACACACACACACACACACACACACACACACACACACACACACACACACACACACACACACACACACACACACACACACACACACACACACACACACACACACACACACACACACACACACACACACACACACACACACACACCACACACACACACACACACACACACACACACACACACACACACACACACACACACACACACACACACACACACACACACACACACACACACACACACACACACAAAACCCCCCCCCCCCCCGGCACCACCCACACACACAAAGACTAGAGGTTAATGACAAACAAACACGAACTCAAGCTGCCACTTGCCTCTCTTGTGCGGGTTTTGGTGTGAAATATGAGCCTCCACATGTCCAGATCTTTCCATGTCACTAGTGTCAGTAGATGTGTGACACTCACGGT